TACCACTGCTGTGATTTGGTCTGCACTCATGTAGCAACCTGCTTGACAACCCAGGCCCAAGAACTGGTTCACATGCAGGCCAGCTACTTTGGTTTATTCAGGAGGACTATGATAAGCTTATGTCCAGCAGATGGCGCTAGCATACAACAAAGGAAAACCCTGTAGAGGAAGAGATAACCAATCCTCTCCTCGTAGGAAATGAAGTTTAAGCATGTTACTTCCAAAAGGAAGCTAATGCAGCCAGAAAGGATATATGGTCAGTATATGTTAGGTTTTAGTAACTGTGTGCAGATTCTTCAATTTTATATCTTTTTCCATCTCAAGATAGTTAACAGTCAATAAAAGGGAATAGCTATTCTGTGAGGGGGAAAGGGTTTAAATAAAAAGCTAAGTAATAGATATGGTAGGGGCTTGTGTCCAAAGGAAGATTTGATAGTTATAACAGTATTTGCCATTAAAATCCTGAATCCAAAAATGTGCTTGAGAACCTCAGTTTCCTTGGCTTTCTGCCACACAATCCCCCTCATTCTGTCCACTTCTTCCTTTGTGGCAGTTTAAATTGATCAACTGGACAGATTACTAGATATTACACCATTAAAATTATGTTTTGTTATTTCATCTCAGCACAGAACAAATCAATGCCCAAAGAGGAGAATGTAGAAGGTACAGCACAGGTATCCAGTAACTCTCTTCAAGCGTAGAGCTGAATATATCTTGACAACTACCTCCTCTTGGAATTAAGCCCAGTCCATGACTGGAACATATTACATCAACAAATAATTTTAGACTCTGTTGCAGCCCCCTTTCTCTGTATTACTATTAAATAGCTACTATATATTCACAGTACAAACAAAAAAGTCACTACAGGCCTGCAGCTCACGATTTAGTGGTCAGTGCAAAGAAAGTGTGAAATTCAACTAGCCTACTCCAGCACCTGTTTGGGAACCATTCAACACCCTGGCCCAGAGACCCTTTGCCACTAAAGATCCCTTGCCAGCACTCTGTCTTTCCACTAATGGTATACAAGGCTTGCAAACAACAACAAGCCTTTCCTAACAGCTCAGCTCTCTACCTCCTCCATTCTCTGCTACTTAAGACATTGTGTTTTTTCTTTCAGCCACCATAACTCTGTGTTCCCTTTCTTGTATGCTAGTTTTTACTGAGGTTGAGAGTGGTTTGACATAGTCTTCCATTCCTCTACTGTACGTGCCCCTCTTCTCTTGCTTCAGAAAGCATTAAAACAGAACAAAAACTTGCCAAATCAGCTTGCCAGAGGTAAAACTGAAATGAGTATACATATCACAAGCAGCCCTTGCTTTCAAAATCCCTTCAGCTTTCTGGAAAAGAAACAAATGCCACTATCCGTCATTGCTTTAAGTTGCTGTTTCCTGAACGACTCTTCCCTTCAGTCCTCCTGCTTACCCACAAACTCCAACAACAACCAGTGCCAATTCTCTCACCTTTGCTTTGGCTTTCCAACATTCCCTTGGATTAAGAGAACAGGCTACCAAAAGAGCATTCTACCACTAGTTCTGCTCTCTGAACTCTGGAATAATCCACATTATATCCCATTCTCAAAGTTCCTATCAAACTACTTTCCAGACAACTGTTTGATCTTTCAGAGTTGAAAGTAAAGTGTTCACATGTGAGAGAGCTCTTCTAAATGTAAGCCTGGTAGAAAAACAGCAATACAGTGCAGGTACAAATGTCAGAAGGGTTAGACAGGTTAATGTGTATAACAGTGAAACCAAACAGTACCTTGTGCCACTTTAAATATAATTTTAGCCATATTAAGCTTTCTTTCTTTTTTTTGCCCATTTTCTTAGCAACCAAGGTAGTTGGCTGTATTTCACATAAGCTTATGCTGTAATAAAAATGTGTTAGCATTCAGGATGTCACAAGACATCTCATTGTTTTCAAGAACAAGTGTTTTCTTATACACCGAAACAAGTGTGAAAGCATTTCAAACTATGGAGGGAAAGGGACCAAGAGTGCAAAAATATCTCTTTTTCAGTAGACTAACCTTCAAATAAACATTTCACAGCAGATACATTAAATTATCAATCAAAATAGTATTTCAAGGTACTGGTGTTATTAACTCATTAAAATATATAACCAGGAAACAAAAACCTTGTACATGATTTTGAAGCTGTCAATAGATGCTGCAAGACAATATTGAAATTTTGCATACCTGATGTATGTACCACCATTTAATTTTAAACTAAGCTATCTAAAGAGAGTCGGGAAAGGCAAATAATTCACTGCTGAAATTACATTTTATGATGCCTCATGTTTTCTTCTTCAATAAATCTTGAATCTTTTAAAAATTCATGCCCAGCAGAATAGTACCGTACCTGAAACTTCTCACCCCGATTCATCTGGGTTGACCGAAATTCAGGAGAATCTATAAAGGCACAGGGGTAAATATTATGCAGAAAATGCCCTCGATAGGAGACCTTCATTCTGATGACAAAAATGTTTAATAAAAAGGTGAAAGAAATCTGTGATACATCAATCAAATTTATGCTGTAATATAATTATTAATGAGGAAACATAACATGGCTAATTCACAACAACTTAGCACTTTATGATTGTTCATAATTGCTACGATTCATTGGGATGTTTTATATTTGTGCCGCTTTTATATGTTTTTAAATTTTTATGTAAGCTGCCCTGAGCCTGCTTTGGTGGGGAGGGCGGGGTAAAAGTTGAACAAATAAATAGATAAATAAATAAATAAACTTCTGGTGAAGTGAAGCAGCTACCTGACAGTCCTGAATGACAAGCTCAGGGACTGTACTCTTCTCCCTCCAATGTGCCAGTTTGCTTTTCCTTGCCTTTTTTTACATATTACCATGGCTCCTCATACCTGAACTGATGTCACTACAGCTAGCTATGGTTTAGAAGCTGGTCAATATGCTGCAGCTAATTATGCTGCAGCATGAGAAAACCTCAAAAGAAAATGGGCTGGGGAATCTGTTCACAAGAATGGAGCAGAGGAAGAAAAGGAATGAGACATCCGGTACAGAACTTCTATTCTCTTAGCCATGGTTAGGATATTGTGAATGTTATCATTGTATGAGTCCAACATATCATATTGGGCAAAGTGAATAAACATGGCCCACTCAAATACATGGTGGTTAGTTACTGCCAGTTTACTACTATTCACAATGGCTTTGGGTGGTTCTTAGGCACTCAAAGGAGATTAAATAATTTTAACTAAGTGGCTTTGGTCTGGTCACCAGTCAGTCAGTTAGTTAGCCTTTATTGGCATAAAACAATACCTTAAAAGAGGATTACTATAAAAGAGACCATTTTACAGACTACATAATATTACATAATGCTGCATAAAGATATTACTCATTTTGATAGTTTTTCCTGTCATAGCTTTATAGCTGATTGTAAAAACATGGCTACCTTCACTGATATTTCAAGAGCAGAGTCATTCAGAAGACAGTGTACTTTTAAAGCATCAGGAAAGCCCGTCATGGTAGCTAAGATAGGGTTTAAATATCTAAAATATATATCTACACAAAATTGACAATGCAAACAGATATGTGAGACTGTCTCAATACATCCAGAGTTACAACGGCAAAGTCTAGCCGTAAATACTATGTTATTATATCTCCCATGCAAGATTCCTGATGGTACTGCATTGAATCTTGTGAGAGAAAAGGCTCTGCACTGTTGTGTACTTGTATATCAGATAAGTATGGGGCTATTCGGCCTACCATGAGGGGAATCTCAAAGTTCAGAGGGGAACAAGATTTGTTGGCTAAGCAGTATAGCCTTTGTGTTTCAATGTCAAGGATTCTGCGTTTAATCATCTGAAAAGTGCCCATAAAAGGGAGCATAAACAGTGAGTCCAATGGCAGTTATTTTGTTCTCAATGAGTGGAAGCCAGTTAGACACATTTGACACTGTGAGCATTTGTTGTGTCAGGCTCCCTTGGTCTACACTGTAATGCAAACACAGCCAATATTTTACTGTCATAAGCCACACACCAGATTCCACAGAATTTAACCCAGTTTCTAGACATAAGGCTACATAAAGTACACAGCGCGACATTCCCACGATCTTTCAAAGAAATTTAGATTGAACACGTTCAATGGTGTCATTAAGTGTGCTTATCCATATTGGAATACCATACATAAGTTGGGAAATGACTTTGGCCTTGACGACTTTTAATGCAGCTGGTATGAACTGATTGCCTCTGGTGTAGAAAAATTGGGAAATAGCAGAAGCATTGATGTTGGCCATATTTATTGCTGAATTACGTTGCACAGACCAAGATGCATTATACTGGAAGTACAAATCTAAGTCTCAAAATTTTTTAACTTGTTCAGTTGGTTTGCCTCCAATTTTCCATTTCCAGGTTTTGGAAAAGACAAGTATTTTTGATTTTTCATGGTTTAGGAGTAATTTATTAGTTATAAAATATGGGAGGCATCTGTTTAGTGAGCGCTTTAAACCAACTTTGAAGCAGGACAATGGTACCATGTTGTCTGCATATAATAGCAGAGGGACATGGACAGAACCCAGTTTAGGAGCATGGCAGTCAACAGCTTCAAGGTAGGGGGTGAAATCATTACGGAACAGGTTGAATAGAACGGGTGCTAATATACAGCCTTGTTTGACTCCTTTGTTGGATGGGATTTTTGAAGTTAATTTCCCTGTCAGTGAACATTTAATTTGGCATTTTGTTGATGTATATAGCTTTTTATAAGGTTAAGGAGTCTCTTATCTATGTTTAGTTGTTGTAGTTTGGCCCAGAGGAGTTCCCTGTCAATTGAATTGAATGCCCCTTTAAGATCTATGAAGGCAGCATATAATTTTACATTACTTCTTTTTACATACTTGTTAATCAGGTGGTCTAATACAATGCAATGGTAGTTTTCCCTTTACAAAATCCCAGTTTAAGTAGTTTAAGTACAAATTCCCTTTAAGTAGTTTTCCCTTTACAAAATCCCAGTTGTTCCGGGCCTAAGACTCTCTGTTCTGTCATCCATGTCATGAGCTTGGACAGTAAATGCTTGGCATACAGTTTGCTCATTACGGAAAGCAGACTGATTGGTCTATAATTGGAAGGTCTGGTCACCAGTTCTCAATTCAAGTTCTGTGCATGTAAAACTAAACCAATATTGATCTTCTTCACTGGGATGCTCTCGGCAGCAGTACCCATTCTACAGCTTGCAGAAAGCCACAGTCACAAAACCATCAAGTGGAAGGGCAACATTTACTTCTATTCCTGACGCAAGGCCTGTGCCTCACGGAGGGTTTGCAACTTACCCATTCTTCTGTTGGCAGACATTTCAAGATGGAAGCCATCTGCCAACCACAAGCTTCACTAAACAAAAGCCTTGTCCACTTTTCTGAAACAGGGCCAGGTGCCACAAAGTAGGTGGAAGGATGGTAGCAACAGTTAACTCAAGGTGACCATTTGTTGTTTTAATCTGACTTCTGATTAGTTTGATACATGTAATATGATATATGCAATCAGATACATGTAATCAGAGACTGAATGATTTTTAAAATAACTGCATAGTCTTTTGGATTATAATCAGTTTTCAGTGTTAGGACAAAGCATGTAATATAATAATAAAGCAATAAAGCAAAATAATAAAGCAATAAAGACTGGACAGTTTAACATCTACTGGACACTATCTACCTCCATGAAAAACCACCTACCTCTAATGAATGACCATCTTGTTTAAATCTGAGCACTTTATTTGTAATATTTATTGATTTTTATAGTTTTTATCCTCTTGCCCTCTTGTAAGCCGCCCTGAGCCCATTCACGGGGAGGGCGGAGTATAAATACAAAAATAAATAAAATAAAAAATAAATAAATACTAATGCTTTGTTAGCATTCTACGCAGAATGCCTTTCATCCCATTAACTTCTCATCTGTCAAGGAATTAGGAAGAAAACACTTCCCAAACTGAAGGGGTGATTTATGAGCTACTGTTGGGCTCTGTGTCAGCCACCTTTCCAGTACAGCTTCTGGGCAACACTTTTAGGCTACGCACACATGGAATGCAATAATCCTTGTACACTGAACAAAGGAAGTATCAGTAATGATAGTCTGACTGGTACCTATTTTATCTTTGATATACATGCAAAATAAACTCATTAAACTAAGATGTTAATGTAATTGCATGGTCAGAAAGAACGGCAAGGATAAACCATATTTAAAGAAAGAGATGCAAAGTTACTGTATATTACATCCTTTCAATACTGCTATTGATTCTTCAATTAAGCTATGAAAAAGAAAGGTTTCCGTTCAAACTCTTTAAGGCACATACTTTCCTTTTAGCAGAATGCTTAATCGATCATCTACTGATGTTTTATCCTCTGCAGCATATGCTTGACCTGTTTTTAGTATCTGAATATTGCAGAATTGTCCAGTCAATCTTTGGAATTGTTCTGGAGGCACATGGAGAGGTTCAAACATTCTCTTATACAGACTACTGAGCTCTTTATCTATCTTTATCTGTAATAGAATTTTAAAAGGTTACAGATAGCAGGTTACAGAAGTAGCATAACTGCATATTAGATACAAAAATATGCTGTTTAGCAAACACACATACATATGGCCAAATCAGTAACCACTTAATACAATCTAGTGCCAATGAAGTTGACAAGACCACACTAATTTAAGTGATTGGGAAATTGTTCCCATAGGCATATATGTAATCGCTTTTGTCTGCTGACTGTAATATTATTTGTGTGTATTTGTGCATGCATGCACATGGAAACCAAATATCTGGCTTAAGAGTTAAATTTAATTCATGAAATGTAAGTCTTTGATATCATATTCATGGCTGAAAAACAGAATTATTCCAATATAATTACACACATGCAAGTGCAAAACTCTAATTAAATACTGCAAAGCCTATTCTCTTTGTTCCATAGCATTTCTGCCTATCTGGCATAGTGAAGAGTTATCGTGGTGGTTAAGGGATTGATTTTCGTTAATTGGCAACTCTAGAGACAAAATCAGTAAGTTCCTGACTTAAATTCTGCTTCTGCCAAGAACTCCCTAGTTGGCCTTAAGCAAGCTATGCTATCTTTGCCCCAACCCTAGTTCTCCAGCAATACACCCACCTTTCCAGATTGTTGTAACATCAACAAGATAATTAACACTCTATGGCTAAAACTCTATGATCACTTACTTTGAACGAAATAGAAAGTCTACACAAGTATAATTGATAAGTAGGGGTTGCTGTTGTTGTTTTTGTCCTTACTAAGTGACAAAATATGACCTGAGAACTCCACAAGATCTATGCAAGAGGCAGTCTTTCACAAAGATGAGAAATCAGCATCTGACAAACATTCTGCACTCATTTGTGCACCAAAACAGGAAAGAGGGCAAGAGAGCTGGCTGAAATCTGGAAGTCCTTCTGAATCAATACAAATCCTAGCCAGGACACTCTGTCCTAGTCTATCTGAAAACACAGGCAGATTGAGCAGAGATCAATTAGGCTTGCAGAAGACAAGGAAGTGGGTGGAAAGAAGTGTAAAAACAGGAAAGGGTTGAGCACCAGAAAGTAAATAGAGGAATAATAGTAGAAGCAAAATTAAAGATAACCCTCCCATCCCACTTTGGAGGCTGAATTCTTCCCCATTAACTTGTCTACAGAGGCTCCCAACATGGTTCCCATGGGTGCCACAGTGCCCCCGAGCCCCTTTCCTGGCACCCACCACATGTTTTTATAAAGCAGGCTGGGCCAGGAAGGGCTTTTTGAGTTTTATTAATGTTTATGGTACAAGACAGACCGGGAATTCTGTACAATACTTTAACTGTGCAAACAGCAGAATTATATTCTTAAAAACACAATAGGATTTGACTCTGGCTAAACAGTCACAGATGAAATGTTTAATGCACCTAACTAGAGCTTCTATTGAAGTCATCAGATCTTCCCCAGTTTTAATGTATTTTGATGATTTTCAAAAATATTTTATGTTTCTATCACAACCTGGTCAAGGAGCCTTCACCAGAACTTCAGCACTGAGTCATTGTTACAAGTAACAGAGCAGGTTAAAAATGACTGAGTTCACGAGACAAGGGCTCACATAAAGGGATAGCTACAAGAAGCAGCATTTTTTCTTTCTTTTTGCATATGTGGGTTACATGTCTGCAAAACTGAGGACAGATACTGCCAGATGAGGGTTTCTTAGCTAGCTCAATAGGAATACTCATTTTGTGTATATGAAAAATTTTTTTAACAATATGTTAATTTTAGAAGGTAACCCATTAACAAGTTTCTGCCTGAAATGCTGAAGACCTACTATTAGAATTATGCATAACAGCACTCCTTGACATGTTGTGTTTTTGCTCCACCTCCCTGTGTCAGAATTCCAGAGGGATCCACAGGCTGAAAAAGGCTGAGGACCCCTGCTTTACAATGTTTTCTTGTTATAAACAAGATGAAGAAACCAAGGCAGGAAACTATTTTTTTGAAGGAAACACAGGTATGTGTTCTATTGTAAAAAGAGAGATGCTGAGAGATACTTTGGGATTAAAAGACAATTGTTCTTTCAAAAGATTTTGCACCCCTTTGTTCCTTTAGCACTTCTACCATCGCTTTATATATCTACAACAATAACTGAAAGGAAAAATCAGCTTTCATGCTGCTCTCCATCTATACAGGAGGTTACTAGCTGATTAAACTAGACCACATATGAGACGTTCCCTCTCTTCCTCATTTCAGTGCATTTAAAGGAAAAATGTTACGCATGGCTTTTTTCATACTATGGTTTGTACTGTACCTCATTAGGAACAGCTATCAAGGAACAGCTGTTTGATAAGAAATATATGCAGAAGCAGAGTAAGATGACTTCTCTGCAGTCAAAAAATAACTGAAGGAATACATGTATTTCCATATATAGTACATACAGGGTATACATCAATGAGCCATCTCAATCTGCATATGCCTTTTGATCTGAAATTGCAATTACCATTTAGAAAATAATGTCTGTGGTGTCAAAAGAGGAAGATTATTCTTTAGACAAAACCAAGGAACACTTAAAAAAAAACCTCGCTATCCCTCCATCAGCATACTATCCACACACAAATTTAAGTATCTGAAAATCCAAATTGCTGGCTTTTCCTCAGCTGAAGCTTTTTGCATGTCTGATAGAAGGTCAAAACATAAGGGAAGAATGACCAGGAGATGATCAGGAAAGAGATGGGCACAGAGATATTTTAAAACAAATAAATAAGAAAAGGCTGAGAATGTGAGGATTTTGTGTGATGACTATGCAGATAGTTCAGCTAACTTGACGTTATTCCTTTTTTGGGTATTAAATTTAATTCCACTTGATTAACTATTATACTGCCCATATCCTAATAGTTCAGTTCTGCAATGATAAATTATAACTGCATTATGAAGGACCCACTGAATAATATTAAAGAGACAATTTATTGAGACTCTTGCAACAGGCAAGCAGAAAGATAACAGCCTGAAACTAATTTGCTATGTAAAAATAGGCAGTTTAGGCACACAGAAGTTTGAGGCTTCTGAGTAATGACTGGCTGGGTCTGACTGGGTGGTCCTGCCCCATCCATGACAATAAGCAGACCCTAGATTGCATGCTGGGAAGTGGCCCTGGCAACTTATAAAGACTAAAATAACAGACGTTATGTGGCATCTTACAGACTAAAAAAACTGGATTTCACTAAGCTTTTGGGGACTAAAGTCCACTTCTTTAGATGGTGTATCCTCACTATGCATTTTATGTATGAGACTTAAAAGCAGCAAGGGACTGTGACATGCAGGAAGTACAGGGAAGTACAGAGCTAATCCGGCTTTTGGATAGTAAACAAAATAAAAGTTTATGCTGGGATGCAATTTTGCTAGTCAATTATCAGCCACAAGGTTCCTGTTCATTTTTGGTGCAACAGACTAAATGGTACAAAACGTTGATGCAATGATGTTCACTAAAGTGGACACCATATCACTCCAGTCTTGGCCCATCTGTACCATTTCCAGGCATAGTTTTGTTTCTAGACATAACTCAAGGTGCTTTTGTTGACCTTAAAAGCTATATATGGTTTAGTGGCAATGTACATACCGGTCTTTTCTTGTATACCAAATATATAAAATGAAGAAGGTTGACAAGTAGGAATACTACATTCCAGACCATTATATCCAAGGCACAGCGGAAAAGTGTTGCCCAGATGATAAAAAGTGCACATCCTGCCAAAAACAAAGTTGTATCTCAAATGATGACACATACACACCCACAAAGCACAAGGCTACAATTGCCCCCCATCCCAGTTAGGAAGTATAATAAAAAGGTCCTTTTACACTGCAGTTCTAAGCAGAGCTTACACCTTTCTAAGCTCACTGACTTCAATGATCTTTGAATAGTATAATTCTGCATAGGACTGCATTGTTTATCTCCTTCAACTTTCAGCATCAGTATAATAATCTCTATTTTAAAACAACCAACTAAGATTCTGTTCATCCACAGCCCATCTGTAGAAACAGTGAGGAACTTTGAATGTTTGCATACTCCATACATACAACGTGGAATGCAACACAATAGTAAGGATATATAAAGGTTTGTGTGACCTGTCACTCAGAAGATGGAGAAATATTACATAAACTATCTACACATATGTATATCCTACATATTACACTAAAGGCATGGTAGGAACCGGAGTTTGTTTATGCTCCCCCCCCCCTCCATAATGGGCATGTTCACAAAGAACATGAATGAACCTAACTGTGAGTGCTAGCTATATTTTTACTCTCCCTTACTATACTCCAGAACTCTGAGCTCCATAGGCAGCTGCTTTGGAAACATGAGAAGGTTTCAAAGGAAGCTTGCAATGTGCCATGAAAGAAAAACCTGGTGTGTTATTCCAGTGTTTTTAATAAGGTTGAAAAACTGATTAGGCAAGCAGAAGCTTTTAGATACCTCTAAAAAAACCCCTGAACTCTAGTAAAATGTCAAGAGAGGTCTATCGCTTGGCCTACCTAGTGTTAGCATAGCTCGTAGAACAATCATATGAAGATTGAAAGTGGTTGGAATAACTAATCCAATTGCAAAACAAATATTAGCCATATGAAAAACCAGGTGGTGAATCTCTCTCCAGTTTTCACACACAGTTTCATTCAAAGGCACAGAAGTAGCATTTTTGAAGTCGAGGAAAAAACTCAAAGGGGTCACTGTGATTGAACTGGCTTGCGTAGGGTTCATCTTGAAGTTGCCTGTTAAAAAATTGTAAAAGTAATTAAAATGAGAAACAAGGGAGAACTAAACTTCAAAAATTTAGCAGTTTCATTTGTCAACAAATCCAAATAATCTGGAATATAAATCTTTAGGTCAGTATCTCACATATTCCCATTTAATATTGTGAAAAATTGGCCTTGTGTATATGTAGTTTTATTTATTTTCTTCATTTATATCTTGCCTTCGTCCCTACTGGGGACCCAAAGCAGCTTACATCATTCTCTTCTCCCTTTTATCTTCACAAAGACTCTGTGAGGCAGCTGAGAGTATAGGACTGGCTCAAGGTCACACAGCGAGCTTCCCTGGGAGAGTGGGGATTTGAGCTTGAATCTCCCAGGTCCTAATCCAACACTATATGTGGAAGAAAAAAAACAAAAAACACTATATGTGGAAGGATTCAGGGGGCTGCACCCCAAACCCCCAGGGTCTGAAGAGTCAGTGTGAGACTAGCCCAGAGACTGAATTAATCCCAGAGAGAAAACAGTCTACTCTGCTTAACACATTATTTATTGAACTTCATTAAAAAAACACAGTACAGACAATAAATGGATCCAATATGTATTACAGTGCACCAAAGGAAAAAACAAAACAAAAAAGTTCACCAAGACCAAGGGGTGTTGGCGAAACAGCTCTGAACAGTGTAAAGACAGACAATTTATAGCCTTCTGCTTATCTAGAGGATTCAGTATAGGATGCCACTCAGGAATGGGGTGGTCTCTAATAGAAACCACCCACCCACCTCCTTACTGATGGTGAAACTCCTTGCTCAGATAATAATTTTTGCCCAAAT